GTCCTGGTACACTTGGATTCTTTCTCCTGATTTTCCTTCTTTTTTTTTTTGGTGACCTGCTGTGGAACATTTCTGACACTGAGTTCATACTAAACTTTGTTTAGTTGTTGCAAAAACAAAGGCTTCATGAAATGGTATGACTATTTTTCAAGAAAGATATATGAAAGCTGTAATTTTCAAAGTACATATTATGGAGTAATCTTGAAAAAGTATGGGATTATTTTAAGAATTTCAAGTCTCATGTACAGTATATTAAAAAGGGGGCTACATGTTACTCCTTGAATGTTATTCAAGAAGATTTTAATCTCTTCCACCTTCGCCTTCATCCTTTTCAAATCTGTGACAATGAACCTTCAAAACTCCCAAGTAAGTCTGGGAGAGAAGCAGAAGGTAGAAAGCGGAGACATTTACAGTGCAGTAGATAGTTATTTTATTGGAAAGAAGCCATTCACTGCAGGCCAAAGTTCCCATCATTAAAACACAATTGTCAGTGTAAATTATCATAGGCCATACAAAGCTGAAGGCCAGTTCAAACAGATCAGAAGGCTAATAAAAATACTGATGTGAAATAAGGTATCTGAATAATATTTATGCCAAGTGGGAAGAAAAAAACTCTTCAGCTACAGAAAATACTGAAATTCACTTCAGATTAGAATTATGCAGCTTTACAAATACAGTAACGTGATGAAAAACGTAAACAATTTTATTTTTTAGTGACACCTTTTCATTAGTTATGTTATCTACAGATATGGCATACATATGGTGGTCTAGCAAGAATCCCAATAATTCCTTTTTAAGTTCAAAGCCCCACTCTTTTTGTACATGCCTAGAAATACAAAAGGGTGGGGTTTCAGCCTTGTTACCTCTACCATCTGGCGGACTTTGACCCCTTTTTGTGGATGCCCCTGTCACAAGAGAAAGATGGCCCCTGGAACTAATGTTATTTCTGTGCAATTTGTTACCGTGACAATTCTTCCAGCAAATTCCAAGTTTAATCGGAAGAGAATCTTAGCTCTCTTTTTTCTCTCCACCACCTTGGTAGAGAGATTTTTACTTGTCTCTCTCCTGTCACAGAACTGTCTGCAGTTTCCCAACAGAATAAAAACTTTTCCACCTGGAGAGACAGGGGTTGTAGGAGAACTCTTACTTTTGCTAGGTGCTAAAGTAAGCATCTCTCTTCAGAAATATTTTGCCTAAGATAGGAGGATGTATATAGTATTCTGTCTGGGAAGCAGCTGTCCATCTTGTGAATGCCAGGTGGCATCACAACATATGCACATAACAGAGGCAGCTTTTTACAGCTTCACAACTGTGGTTGTTTTATTCTCCTAACATGACATGATTTATTGGACCACATCTAAAAATGATCATTGTAAAACCTACTTTTCAGAATGAGCTCTGTTAAAATAATAGGATTACACTGTATGAGTATCTGGGAGTAAACACCATTGAATCTCATGTTATTGGTGTGATTGCACATTATTTACAAGTTTCCCACATGACATTCCATCAGCCTTTTTTGACACTTTCCATATAAATGGATGTTTAGATATATTTGATACTTTTCATTATTATCAGTTGCTTTTATCTTATATATATTTGGAAAGAAAATGAAAGATATTTGAACAAAACAGTAGATAACCTGAATGAAATAAAATTGTGTTTACATGACAACTTTTACCACTTTCACTATACTTTTACTTTCTATTAGCATGGAATCTTAATATTACAAACATCTCTCAACCAGCAGGTAAACAGAGTACAGTAGGGGTTTTCAAGCTTTTTCAGTGCATGGAACTTATTAGTTAAATAAATAAATAAATAAATGGATAAATCCCTGAAGCCCTGATCAACAGGCAAAACTCTAGCAATAGAAAATTGGTTGGGTCCATGTGAAGGAGGGGGGTTGCCTTTAGTCTCTTATGAAATCCCATTAAGTTCTCATAGTACTTAGTTTGTAATACAACCCACTCAACTAGTCATTTAGGAGAAGCATGGTTTTGTATTTATGCTATGCCATGTAATTACTTGTTCTGTTATATCTGGCAGGAGAGGCATGCTCCAGGTCCTATCTGTTTTTTTTTTAATCTGTGCTCAGTCGTTACCGACTCTGCAGTGACT